TCTAATTTTTTATTGAAGATCCTATTTCTTTCATTAATATAAGTCACAGGTTAATCTTCATTGAATCTTCTTCTTCTTGAAAACTCTTTTCTTCTCTCTTACTATTTAGTAATATCAGAACTCAGTCTCTCTAATGCTTCATTTGTAGGCACAAACTCTTAATTTGACTCTAAAAATTAATCTATATATAAAATACCCATTTATTATTTATATTTTCCTTCATCTTTTGCTAAAGTAGTACATCTTTTCTTATAAGCATTATAAACAGCATCTTCATTAAATACATCCCATCCAAAATATTCTTTTTTTCTTTCTTATTCTTCATCATGTTTAATTGTTAATCTATTTAAATAATCTTTATCTTCATCTATTTATTTGAATTCTAATTCTTTTTTTTCTGCCTCCTTTTTCAAAAGATATCTTCTTTTCCTTACATATTTATCATATTAAGCATCAGTATTTTATCTTTCTTCATTTAAAACTGCTTTATCATTTAATACTTTAGATTATTAGATTTTCTTTTTTAATCCCAAATATCTTTCTTTATGTTTTTATGTCATAAAGTTTTTGCCTTCAAATTATTCTAAACCTTCTTATGAATCATCTTCTTACTCTTATTCTTCTGTAGATTTCTTTAACAATCCTTCAACTAATAATTATCCTTTCTTATCTTCTTAATTTTCTTAACTTTATTACTTAANTAACTATGTCAATTATTGATTATCATTTTATAACTACAAACAAAATATATCTAAATTAGTTTATATTAATGGATTTTTTAGAGAGTTCACAAATGCTTTTATTTCTTCTAATTGTTAATGCAATTTAGAATTTTCTTCCTTACAATTTTATTTATATAAACCTTTAGATTAGCAATTCTCTCCTAGTATAATTATTTGAATCTGGATGAACTTTTAAGAGGACTGCTCTCATCCTTGTATATAGCCTCTTTCTTATAATATTACACTTAAGCTTGTAGCTTCTTAATGTTAATAAACAATTGGTTCTTGCTTTATTTGAGAGATTGAATTTCCTCAAACATAGTTTCCTTATCCTTTATGAAATATTATTTTTGTTTTCCTGTTTCATTTGGTGTTTGATTGAATTTCATAGATGTTTAATATTTAATAGGACTAGTCAACAAGAGATTTCTTTAGGATGTTGATTGCATTATTTAATTTTTTTAATTATTGACCCTTAATGGTATAATAAAATATATAATTTTATCAAGATGCAGTTCCTCTTTCTAAATTAGCTTTAATATCTGCAGCATAATCTCCAAAAAATCTCTCTAATTTTTTATTGAAGATCCTATTTCTTTCATTAATATAAGTCACAGGTTAATCTTCATTGAATCTTCTTCTTCTTGAAAACTCTTTTCTTCTCTCTTATTATTTAGTAATATCAGAACTCAGTCTCTCTAATGCTTCATTTGTAGGCACAAACTCTTAATTTGACTCTAAAAATTAATCTATATATAAAATACCCATTTATTATTTATATTTTCCTTCATCTTTTGCTAAAGTAGTACATCTTTTCTTATAAGCATTATAAACAGCATCTTCATTAAATACATCCCATCCAAAATATTCTTTTTTTCTTTCTTATTCTTCATCATGTTTAATTGTTAATCTATTTAAATAATCTTTATCTTCATCTATTTATTTGAATTCTAATTCTTTTTTTTCTGCCTCCTTTTTCAAAAGATATCTTCTTTTCCTTACATATTTATCATATTAAGCATCAGTATTTTATCTTTCTTCATTTAAAACTGCTTTATCATTTAATACTTTAGATTATTAGATTTTCTTTTTTAATCCCAAATATCTTTCTTTATGTTTTTATGTCATAAAGTTTTTGCCTTCAAATTATTCTAAACCTTCTTATGAATCATCTTCTTACTCTTATTCTTCTGTAGATTTCTTTAACAATCCTTCAACTAATAATTATCCTTTCTTATCTTCTTAATTTTCTTAACTTTATTACTTAAATTTTTCAGGATTCAATGCCTAGAGTTTTTATTCCTCTTCTTTATCTAATTCATCTAAATAATCTTATCCATATAATGCTTTTAATCTATCTCTATGAATTTCATCCATAATCTCTTTTTTAAAAGGATCACAAATTAACCAATTTTTAGATTCTGATACTTCACCACAATTAATAATAATAACTGGTATCCTTGGTCTATCTTACATATCTACTGGCACTTGACCTACTCTTTTAATTACTTCAATTCCATCAATAACCTATCCAAATACTACATGTTTTCCATCTAAATGTGGACATGGTTTTAAAGTAATAAAAAATTAAGAATTATTTGTATTTCTTCCTCTGTTTGCCATTGATAACAAACCAGCACATGCATGTCTTCTTGAAAAATTCTCATCTACAAAAGTTTAACCATATATTGAAGCACCCTAATATTATTTAAATTATATTATACTCCAGTTCCATCATTATTTATAATATCTCCACCTTGAATCAACATATTATCTGCTATCCTAAATACATTTGTATTCAAATAATGTAATTTTTTTGTTTTTCTTGCCATTCCTACATTACCATATTCACCAGTACAAAGACCTCTAAAGTTTTCTGCTGTTTTAGGTGTTACATCATTAAATAATTCAAAGATAACTCTACCTGCTGCTTATGTACCTATTTGAAAATCTAAAAACACTTATGGATATCTACTCATAATTAAATTAATGAATAAGACATCTCATTTGGATTAGATTATTAGTAAAATACAGAGATAATCGTAGAAGAACTTGCATCGTTCTAGTCCTAATCTATCAATTACTAAAACCAATAACTATCATTACTCTTAATTACACTAGCGATTAGTGAGTTCTGTGTGTTAAGGGTTAAATTCACCTAATCAAAATAGTGTAGTCTCAACTATCAAAGAAAAAATAGCCAAAAGAATTCGTTAATATAATACATGTGAAGATGCTTCAAGTTTTTAAGATTTGAAAAATATGTAAGAGTATTACTCATCAAAGTAAAGTACTTGAGTCTAGCTTAGCAAATGAATGTGCCAATTACAACGAATTCACTTTCTCTTCATTTCTTCAAATTCTTGATCGAATGGAACAACGAGAACAACCCTTAAAAATAGTTCTCTTTTCTGAATTAAAAAAAAGTTTTTTACTGTTGGCAAACAAAATTCAATCTGATATTGATATTTTATCTCAGCATGTTTTAAATCTGATTTAAGAGTTAGAAACTAAAAATTAAGAATTACAAAAATAAAAATGTCCAATTCAATTATAACATAGAACAAGAAGTGAAGACTTTTAACATATTTTAAATACTTTAAGATTAAAAAAAAAAGATTAATAAAAAATTATTGGATTATAAAAATAAATTTAATATTAGGATAATGTGGAGACTTGTAAAATTAAACATGATTTAAATGAAGCATTATATGAAGAATAAATTAAATATAGCTCTGAAGAAGATTCTTTTCCTTTTGGTAAATAATTTATTAATTTATTTATAGTGGATCCTTCAACATTAAATTTACCTATTTATAAAAAAGGTCTATCTCTCAATCTAAAGCCTATTAAAAATAAAGTTCTTAAAGGTTATTAGGATGAATTTATGGCTTAGATGAATGAATTCAGTGAAAGTTGGCGATAACAAGCATTAATAGAAAAAAGATTTTGATCAATTATTTCCAAAATAATTTTGTTAATTATTTATACTTAAGTAATTCATTAAAATTATGTTATTTCTGGTGTTTTCATATCAATTGTATTCAATTAACGATTTTATAATCGAATATCTACATTAGATTAAATTCTTTATGAAAAGAAATTGATAACACCTTCTTTTTAAGAATCATCACTGTCACCTTATGTGAGTTTTCGTTTCTATAATATAGATTAACTATTTTTCTTAGATGAACAAAGTGATTCATCTTTCTTAATCATTTCTGAATTAGTATATATTTAACTTGCCTACTTTTCTTTTTCTTTTCTAAAGATTATGGATTGATCTTCTTACTCTCGATTATTTTTAATAATATCCATTTTGCTCTCTTGATTATTAATAATATTGAATTCTGAACAATTAGAAGGTTAAACTTATTTAATTCTCTTTTAGATTATATATTCATAAGTTGAAATTCCTTTTTTACAAAGATATGCATGAAAAATTATTAATTATAAGAGAAGTAATGAAGCTATTATTTCAAGAACTAACAACATTATGGTTATTATGAATAGTGACTTTTTATATTTTGAGTAGATCTTACATAAAGTGAAAATTTACAGTTAAAGTTTCTAGTTCCTATTTATTGTATTAATTAATAACTCTTCCATTCACTATTAATGAATATATTAGAATGATGAATGTAAATACAATCATTCCTATAAATTATTTATAATTTCTTCCTCCTACACAATTGTTGATCCATCTACAATGATGGTCAAAGTCTTCGCAACACCTAATAGTAGTTGTTAATTACCTGTTACATTATTTACAATGTTTTGTTGTCTCCTTTACATATGCAATACAAAGTTCACAAAATTAACTGAGTTAATGTTCTTCATAATCAAAAGGGGCTCTAATGCTTCAAAAATTAAAATACCCTCTATTTTTTTATTATTAAATCACATAAGTATCTGTGGGATCACAAATTGTAGTTTTTATGCTAAAGTAACTAGAAATTAAAGTCAAAAAAGAGAATATTATGTAATGTGCAGTCTAAATAGATAATAAAATTACATGTTCTTCGAGAATTATAATATGAATATAAGTCATGACAACATTAAAGACGTAAAAGACTATTACGAATATTTGTAGGAGACTTGGATATTAGGAACAACCACTTCTAACTTTCATAATTTAATAATTATATATAAGTAACTCTTTTTTACAGATATTAGATTAATTCAAAATATAAAAAATTAATAATCCTCTTATATACATATAGAATATACTCTCTTATTCTTATTTACTAATACTTTCCTATTATAAATCTATTTCCTAATTCTAAAATAAAATTATTATTTCAGATTAATTTTAATCTTTTCTATTTGGCAATTAAAAAAAGAATAATAATTTTGGATTCAATAAAAATGTGTATATTTATATTTCTTCTCTCTTAGTCTAATTGACACTTCAAAGTAAAAAAAGTATTACATTTAATAAAGTAACATATAGCTTAACGTATTTTTAATAGATATATATTTCATGATTAGCAATGTATTGATGATATTAATTCTATTCAATTTTTAGAAGGAGTGCTATAAAATTAATGGTATAAAATAGATCCATTCAATTTTTGTGGATTTATTACAGTTTAGGATTTATCTAAGTAATATAGAGTTACTTTGTCATATATTAAAGTAGAAGAGTAAAATGAATATAATTAATATTATAATGTCATATAAATCATTTTAACAATGTTTACTTATGACATATAGTGTTGCATTAGCAACATTTAGTTTTGCTTATAATTCTTATTTAATCAATGGTCCGTTAGATCATATAAGAATATGGATCAATATAGAGTCTTCTTTTAAGGAAGGAGCTATGATGACTTCATTTAATTTTGGTGGATTGGTTGGATGCATAATTGGAATTTTAATAGTAAAATCTACTTCAAGAAGATTAATGTTATATTTGATTGATGCCCTTTTAATTATTGGGACTGCAGGATTAAATATACAAAACTATTAAACCTTTATATTTTTTCGAATGATTGCTGGAATTGGTAGTGGATTGACAACCCTAGTTACTCCAATGTTTTTGAAAGAAATAATTCCTACACAAATATATGGAGTGTTAGGAGGGTAAAATCTAGTATTGTATATATTAAATATATGTAGATTGTCTCTTGGAACAATTGTATAATCATTTTGTGCTTTAGGTTTTAAAGATGTTAAAGGGTAGACTTCTGTTGATATGAGTTATTGGAGATTTTATCTTTTGCCTCCTATTATTATATGTATTACCAGAAGTCTTTTGTTAAAGTTTTATTTTCCTTATGAGTCTCCAATATTTTCAATTTAGAAAGGAAATGGTATTAGCTAATATTTAAATTAGTTTAGGCAGCAGAAGAATTTTTGGAACATATATATCAAGATGAGGATGTATCAAAATTAAAATAAGATATTGAAAATTTAGTAAACAAAAGAAATGTTGAAAAAACATTACCAGGAGCAAGAGTATTTTTAGGAATTATGATTAACATATTTTATTCTAATTCAGGTATTACTCCAATTATATCGTATTCCACTAAAATATTTTAATAAGTTACTACAATCAAAGTGGCATAAATATTGACAATAGGGATGAGTATTATTAAATTCATCTTCTATTCAACAGGAGCTTAATTAACTTAAAAATTTGGAAGAAGAATGCCTTTAATTATTGGAACAGGAATTCTATGTGCTGTTTTAATCAGTACTGGACTTAGTTCTTCTATTAATGATAATTAAGAGTATAATGATACAACATTAAAATCTATTGTAGTTGTCTATATAGTAATAGCTATTTATTTATATTTTGGGGTTTTCTTTAATACTTTTGGAGCAATTATTCCTCTTTATACACCTGAAATTCTTTCTGGAATTTACTTAACTGTGGCTCTAATCTTTTAATGGTCATTCAATATTACTATAACCTTTTTATTTCCTGTCATTAGAGATTCTTTTGGAATGTGTTATACATTTTATTACTTTGGAATTATGATGGGAGTGGCAACAATTTATTTCATAATGTTTGTAAAAGAAACCAAAAACTTGGATGATAAAGAAATTGATGCTTTATGGTAAATTAAAACATCAAAAGTTAGAGATGAAAAAGAAAATTTGATTTAATGATTAATTGTTAAATATAAGTTTATTTAAAATATTTAATAATATATAGGCATGCATTAATTATTATAAATATTTTTATTTGATAATATTATTATTGTAAATGATATAATAATTTTGTTATTTTTTAAATCCTATTCACTTCATTCCATTTTAGCAAAACCAACAAATTTATTTTGTTTACCCATATTTTTTAAATGATTAAAATGACCATTCCATGCTTCCTTGAATCCAGGAAGAAGATTATATTTAAGATTATATTTCTTACAAACTTCCAAAACAATAGGAGCTATTTCTGGATATAAATATTAACTCACTCCAGGGAATAGATGATGAATGACTTAATAATTTAAAGCTCCACATAAATATGTCATTAGCCAATTACCATGACTATAATCTACAGAACTCTTAATTTATAAAACTGCCCATTCAATTGGCCATTATTCATTAGTACCATTCTTAGCTACTTTATCCATATTATTATAAAAGAATTCAGCTTCATCTGATACATGAGAAACTTAGAAATTAATAGCTAACCAATATCCAGTTATAAATTCAACATAAATAAAAAGGAACCAAAATTAGGATTAACTCATACCAAAAACTTAAACAGGTAAATAATATCTCCAAAATAGCCATAATAATTTACTGCTAGCTTATCTTAATTTATCTTATATAGATATTGGATTAACTTTAACAGGACCATCAGTTTCTTTTAAAAATATTTCAAAAACATCATAATATCTAGATCTAAGTGATAATAATCCATATAGAATAGGCATATACAAATGTTAATATTTATACATAGCACACCAAATTTATTCTTTGACAAGTCTTCTAACATCTCCTTCTTTCAATTATGGTATATCTGGATCTGATCCCATAATATTTGTATATTAATGATGTCCAATTACATGTTAATTTTACCAAGCCAACATGGATGATCCAGAAATATAATCTAATGTAAGTCTACCAAAGAACCACCACCATTTTTCATTATTACCTACTGCTCCATGTGATGCATCATGCATTAAATGTAAAGTATTTAATGCTTATAAAATACCAAAAATAGTGCCTATTAAAATTCTTTTGGTTAAGCAAAATGAATCATCTATAAATGTTAAATAAAATGTATAAAAGAAACATGTCCACAAAGGTATTGCTCTGATAAGTCCTGGAATTGGAGTTTTAGGATTTATTCCTTTGGATTAAAAATATTTCTTAACTCTATCTGCACATTCCTTATAAAATCCAGAGTCAGGTTTGAAAGTTGGCCACTCTGTGGTTATTAGATCTCCAATCAAATATTTCTCGAGTAATTTCTCAGGTTTTTCAGAAAAAGGATGATATGATTGAAATGCAAGAGATGCATCTCTTCCACAATTCAACAATAAAAATTCTCTACCTCCAGGATGGCTGTTCAAAAATGATGTAACATCATATACTTTTCCTTTAATTGCTACATAAGCTGAAGATTAATTATCATGCTTTTTCAATTCTTACCAAGTTAATTTTTAATTTTTAGCCAACTCTTTTTATTATGGTACTTTCTTTTAGCTATCCAAATATAATGAATAGACTTCAGCTATTATAGCATATAATGGCACTAATTTAAATAGACCTTCAAAAATGAAGAGAGCCATTAGAAGAAATAAAATGCCAAATTATGTTATGATACCTTCCATAATTTAAATTAAAATCCAATAAATAATATACTGTAATTAAATTTAATGAAAAGAGGTTTACAACAATACTTCTTCTCAAAATAGAGAATGGAAATATTTTTTTTAAAAGATTGTGTACAAGGATTTCAAGGAGAAGTACGCATTGTAAAACCTGGATTTTTTGAGAAAAATCTCTTTCCAATGGCCTTAGCATATTAGAATCTGCCAGGATATAGAAGAAGGTACTAAGAGTTGAAATTTCAATTATAGATTATTACCCAATCTTGATGAAGAGAAGTTAGAAAATAAAATTTAAAGAAGAAAGGATATTAAGTTGTTTTAACAAAAAATTGCAGGAATCCATTTAGAATTTGTTAGACCTCCTAAATTTTCAAATCCAAACCTTCTTAAAGATCCTATAGATGACAAATTAATTATTGAGGAAGTTTAATAAAGATTCAAATTACAAGTATAATTTATGCATATTTACTATAGGTTACCAAAAATCATTTGTTGTCTATGTTTAACAAAATTACTACATATGGATAATTTACATTATAAATTGAAAACTTCTACAGTCCAGAATTATAAGATTATACAACATTTCAAATTACAGTAGTGACCAAAAAGCCTATTATGAAAGTCTAAAAGTTGATTGATGAAGTGGCCACAAAGGATGAATAAAATAAAGATGAAAATAAAGAAAAGTAGGATTAAAAAGTTGTAAAATAAGGAAAAGAAAAAGAAAAAGAAAAGGAAACCTAAAAATGAAAAAATTATTATAATATAAATAAATGAGATCTATAAATTATTATAATTTATTACTAAACTAACATTATATAATTGTAAACTAAAGTAAAATACAAAATTGATGAAAAAAGATCATATATCCTTTGATATTTATTTTTTTGGTTTAGAATGAGGTTGATATATAATTATACATTTATTGATTTTGAATTTCAATAATAAATTTATCCAAGAATGAAAGATTAAGATGCAATTACTATAAATAGAAACTATATTTTTAGTTAAAATTTAGTGCTATTTTGAATTGCTGATTAAATTTACTATTTAGGATCATTGAAACCTATTTTAATTCAAAAGAGTATCAATAGTAAATTATAAATCTAAAGAAAGATATTAAAATAGCTTATGTTCAAGTTAATAAATTTATCTTGACTAAAGTATTTATTGTCTAAAATAAATAAATTATTAATAGTTTTTTCATAAATTTTGTAAGGGATCATTCTATTATCAAGCATTACTGTCATAATAAGGACTTCTAATTAGTGTATTTAATATTAAAATAAAATATAAAATAAGATTAATTATCTAAGTTCCTTTTAAATAAATTGTATAAATTATAAGTTGCTAATATTTTAGATAAAGAATTAGGATTTAATTGATTTTAAGGGTATGTTTAACTTTGAATATTTAAACTAAGCCTTTTATACTCTTCATGACGATATGATTGGAACCTTTTTTGTTTCATTAGTTATGAATAAGGTTATGGCTGAAATTATAAAGGAGCTACAATTTATAAACTGTAGTGAATTTCTGAGATTATTATTTTAAATAATGAGTATTAACAATAAAAATTATCTCTTAGAAACCTTTCCTAATTATCTTCATATTCAACTTGATTAATTGGCAGAAAGAGCAAATAACCATGATAAGTAGATTGTATATTTTAAGTTAGGCATGAGAGAATAAAATAAATAATAGAGTATTTTTGTGAACTAAAAAATTTGGCAATGGCTTTGGCAACAAAATTAAAAACATAAGAAGGGTTTATGTTATATTCTAAAATAATTTCAGATGACTACATAATTGAATTTAAAGATATTCAATCATGTCATCAAAGAAAAAATGAAATTATCTATTTTTAAGCTTGGGTATTTGCAAACTTAAACCAAGTATTTATAATATAGATGTTTAGATTGACTTGTATTTGTTATAAACATTTTTAAGATTCTAATGTATTTTAGTGTAATTTGAGTGCAAAAAATATTTCGAAATCTAAAATTTAGATTATAAATAGAAGTATGGAGGTGATCTTATTAAAATATTCTTGTTGCTTTAAACTTAATAATAAGATTATCAAATGAAACCTGATAGTTTCTTTTATTGTATAATATCAAATTGCAAAAGTAAGAATAACTAATTCATAACTTATCTAAATAAATTTTTTAAAGGGAAAAATATGTAATAATGCAATGCTTTTCTTGATGAATAGAAATAAACTTAAAAGGTATCAGCTGAAAAAAGAAGACAATTTAAGAAATTCAAAGATGATGAAATATCTAAGAAAGATTCTTTAAAAGATTCATAATAAATGTCTTAACAAATATCTTAATAAATTTCATAATAAATATCTTAAATAATTCCTTAGACTTAATAAACTTCAAAAACAATAGTAAGAACTTAATCATTAATTTAATATAAATCAAATGAATCATTAAATCAATTCAGCAAACCATAGTAAAATTCAAAAGATATCATTACAAATAATATCTTGAGACGACCATCAATGACTACAAGAACTATAAAAGAAGGAATAAATCATAAATATAAGGTAATTTTGTTTTATTAATGAGAGTGAAGCGAGAAAATGAATTTAGACAGTAGAGACAGTTGCAGTAAGAAGTAAGCAAACAAAACTTTTTTAATGAAGAAGTGAGAAGTAGAAAGGTTGAAAATGATAAAAAACGAGTTAATACATGTTGGAATTCTGATTGTTTAGCACCAGAAACACCAGAATTATTTAGTGATTGATTTATGATATTGATAATTAGGCAAAGTCGTTTTTATTTAATTAATATTAATTCATGAAATCCATAATACTGATTGCCCTTATTGCTGTAGCCTTTACAGCTAGAGTTTAAGAAAGAAACATGGCTAAAATTCAAGCTGAATTAGCAAAGAGTACATATGGAAGTGCATTACTTCATTTGGTTGAGTTACACTCAATGGCAGGTGGTCCAGTTTAAGAATTGATTGATGCTATCGAAGAACTCATCAATGACTTAGAGGAAGAATTAGAAACACTTGAATTCGATTTCCAAGTTAGAACAAACGAGCATAATGCTTTAGTTGTTAGTCTTGAACAAGACATTCAAGATGCTGTAATAGGTATATAGCAAAATTAATTTCTTAGACGTCAACAACACACAAGACACTCTTGACAACTTACTTTATCCAAGAAGAAACCAAATCTAAAGCAAAATAGATACCGTTATTGGATATTAAGAAGAGAATAGAAAGAACTATGATGAAGCTGTTCTTGTTAGAGAATAAGAGCATGAAGCCTTTGAAGCTTAAGTTGCTGAATTAAATGATGCTACTGCTTCAGTTGATGATGCTCTTGCTCTTTTAGCTTCTTTGACCAATCCATCATTACTCTAAATTAAGAGATTCTAAAATACATTGAAAAACATTGAAAATAAATTGAGATCAAGATCTAGAATGGCACCAATGATCAAGGCACTCATTAGTTTAGCATCAAATTAAAACTTTTCAAATCAAGATGTTTTGAAATCTATTGTTGATGCTCTTAATGATTTTAGAAATGCTGTTGTTGATTAAATCAATGATTTAACAGCCTAAGAAGCTTAAGATGTTATTGATCATGAAGCTTATCTTGAATAATTAGATGATGAATTCTCTGAATTTGGAAGATAAATAGACAGAGCAACAGTTGATTTGACTGCAACAAATGGTAAATATTTATATTTAATTTAATAGAAAAAATTGATTCAATGGTTGAATTTAGAGATTAAAGAGCTGCCGATTAAAAATAATACACTGCTGAATTAGAATTGGAAAATAACACTTATGCTGAGGAGACAGACATATACACCAACACTAAAAATGAATTCACCAGAGAATTGGGTGTCAGTGAATAAGCTTTAGCTCTTGTTTAAAGCGTAGATTTCTCAAACATTTAGGTTTGATATTAATATACAAATAAATAAATATTTCATAAAAATGTTTTAATTCAAAAAGATAGCCAAATTACCTTTAATTCTAATTCAATGTGAATGTGGAAGGGAGTTTTTATAAGAAGAAATGTATTGTTGTCTATCGTATTATTATTTATTCATCTTAGATGCCAAAACAGTATGTGTAGATATTGTACATCAAATGAAATATTTTGTTATTATTGTAGAAATTGTGGAGATGTACAAATTACAAGTGAAACATCCAATCTGACAGTTAGTTGTAGTTCTTGTTTTGAATGTCCTATTTGCAAAAATGTATTACGTAGACAAATAGACACTGAAAAGAATTATGGATTCACATGTTCATATTGTTTTTATACAACACGATCAATTGGAGTGACTGATCCTAATTTTTAATAAGTCTATGCCAAAATTAATAATGCTTATAAATAGGAATATGAAGCTGAGTATAAGGATTTTTAAGATTAATATAATCGAATTAAAAGTATTGAGAATAATAATTTCCTCATTAAAAAACAATAAAAAAATAAACATGTCTTAAAATCATTATCATAATCATGGACTAAAAGTGAGGCTTTAGTTCATTATAGTAATGCAGAGATAGATAAGATGACTAAAGAAAAAAACTTAAAAGTTGTTCTATAAAGATATAACTTAGACTTAAATAATAAATAAGTTGAATTGCAGGATTATAATCCTTCATTATAAACACCAGCTTTATTACCAATACCTTTAGGATTATTAAGTAGAAAGAATAGAAAATGCAGAAAGTGTTAAAAATTGATTTTTACACTTTAACCAGAAAAAAATTCAAAAAAATTTGCTTATAGTGTTTAAAACTTACATTATGATCATGCTCCTTATTTGTAAATAGGGAAAGTATCTTATGTGAATAAGGAAAAAACAGAATTGTCAGTAGTCATCTAAATGTTTAATAAAACTAAAAATGCAATGGAATATTCACTATCTCCTCTTGATTAGTAAATTTTGGAATAATATAAATTATTAACAGTTAAGAATCTTCCTTCACCCACTTTTACATTCAATAATGATAATATAGAAAGCGATGTTTAACAATATTAAAAATTCGAAGCCATTTTAATTATTAAAGATGCCACAAAAATTCAATTTGCATTTTCTGTATCAGCTAAAATTAAAATGCCCATGGATTAACAATAATTGAATTATAATGTTAATGTATATATTGGAACATTATGAAATAATCATTATTAATTCTAAATTAAAAAATTAAAATTCTTATTATATTTTCTTACTAATTTCAATTATTCAATTTATTTCAAAATTTGTATTTCTTTACTAGAATTTGTTTTTCTTACTTAATTGATTTATCTGGTGGTATTTAATTTTTATAATAATTAAAAAAAATAATCACACTTAGTTTTATCATCATAATTGATGAATATATTAAATAACTATGGTTTAAAGTTCATTCATTCAATTAATTATAAAATAAATGCAAATTATATAATCATTAGAGATTTCAATATAAATTCTAAACAAAGATTTTTTATTATAACTTTATATTACTCTCTTTCAGAATTATACCTTAACTATTGATAAAGAATCTTTATAATTTTGTTTGATTTGCTGTTATCATTCATATAATAACAGTAAATTTAAATAGAGGTATTAAATTATAAATCATTAATGCTTCAATTTAGCAACCCAATTTTTTATTAATATAAATGTAGCCAATGAGTATGCTTCTTAGATCTCAGCCTCATCAACTTATATGTTTATGAATTTCTGTTCGATTTCATCTAACAATCGAATCTTCTAGCCTTCATTTAACCAAGGATCTCTTGCCAATTCTTTTATTGTAGCTCTTGTATTTGGGTCTTTATTCAGACATTTTTAAAGAAAATTTTAAAATTCAATTCTACAATTAGGAAATTCAATTCTACTAATATTATTTTTATTTACTCATTTTATTAGATTGAGTCCATTATTTCTTATATTTCAAATCCTTTAAATGGCACTTATAAAAAAGCAAATGAATATATTGTAATTCCAAATGACCAAATATCTGCTGCTTTTCTATCAAATTAACCATTTTCAAAACATTCAGGTGCCATAAACAAATAAGTGCCATTAGTACCAAAATGTTCAGTATCACCATTAATAATTTAAGAAACTCCAAAATCACAAATTTTAGCTCTAAACTTTTAATCAAACAAAATATTTTAAGGTTTAAGATCTCTATGCACTATTCCTAATTCATGCACTATATTTATAATAAATTATATTTACTTTAATAAATACCTTTTATAATGTCTCTACAAATTATTCTTAAATTATCTTCTGTTATTTTATAATCTTTATTTGTTATAACAAATTATCCTAAATCTTCATTCCAATCAATTAATTACCCATTTTATGCATACTCCATTACTTTGATAATAAAAGCAGAGAATACCCATATACATTTTATTTGAATTAGGAGAATCAATAATTTCATAAAGACGAATGATATTAGGATGCCGTAATTTCTTCATAATAGCTATCTCCTTTCCTACATTCTAAAAAGCATTCTTGATTTTCACCACTAAGAGGATAATTAAAGAAATAACCTCCATTTGAATCTGTATAATACTCTCTTTATTTTTTGAGTCTGCTTTTGTTTAGTATTTTTATAGCATAATTTTATAAGTTTTTTTCTGCTAGTCTCACTTTTCCAAATGTACCTTATCCTAATACTTATTTTAAGATATAATCATTAAGCTTTTTTTCACCTTCAATAGTTTGGGATTTTTTTAGATTCACTGTTTCTTTAATTTTTTGCCTTAAAGGGACAGAATGTGAACTCATTTGTATTATAGGTTTCTATTAATCTGGATTCTCTTAGACTGGAGTCTAATCAATTGGTTAATCATCTAAATCATCAAATTCTTTATCATTTCTCTTCAAACATCCACAATTTCCCATACTATTAAAAATAAATTCACTTTAATAATTAATTTAAAGATATTAATAGAGAATACATTAAAACATTATAGTATTTCATTATATTAATAATAATTCACTTTGACCCCATTTTATTGGCTATCCATTTTACCAAACTCCTTTTCTTATTTTGTTTTTATAAATAAATTCTCCTTCTCCGTGTTATTTACCATTTTTCCAATTACCTTTATAAATTCTACCATCCGACCAATCTAATTCTCCATAACCTTCTCTTTAATCTTTTTCAAACTAAAAATAATTGTAAGCTTTAATTACGTTTCCTTTGTATATTTTTCCATCAGGCCAAATATAAATTCCATAACCATGCATTTAATTAAACATCCATTCTCCTTTATACTAATTTCAATTTCCAATATACCTTTTTGCCATTTTTCCAAGTATATTCACCATCTCCATGAGGCATTCCATCAAGCAATTCTCCTGAATATTTTGAACCATCATGCCAAAAAAATACCCCAAATCCTGTTTTTTATCCATTTAAATAGTCTCCTTCATATCTTTAACCATTTTTCCATTCCTCAACTCCTTTCTCATTATAGATATCATTATTTACTCCATGTTATTTATCATCTATCCATTCCCCATTATATATAGTTCCATCTATTGTTACATATTTTCCAGTTCCCCATGCCTTATCATTCTTCCATTAGCCTTCATAACTTATATTATACACTGATTATTTTACTAATCCCCGTTAGGAAGTACAATTCTCCCATATCCCTACTATTAATCATTATACCATTCCCCTTCATAAATTGATCCTAAAGGATGTAAGTATTTTCCAAATCCATGTCTTTTTCCATCTAACCATTATCCCAAAAAAATTGATCTAACATTAATTTTAGATTTACCCTGCATCAATTTGAACTGGACCAGCATAAGTAAGAGTCTGATCTTTAATAATTGGGAATGGAAATGGACCTTTAATTCTTAACATAAATACCTAAAGAATTAAATATAGTCAGAGCTAATGAGGACTGTTCATTAAATATCTATACTATTAAAAGAATGCATATATACATTAGTGTTTTCAATCAACACTCCTCTATAACTCTTAATGCTTCCATAATTCTCTTCCTGTGCTATATTTTAATATCAACTAATACATCGATTTTTTCTGATCTAATGGGTGAACTTGGAGTTTCATTTGATTCTTTTATTTTTGTAGGTTCCTTTACTTCCAAATTTTCGTTGCTTATTTAGATTGGAGCTGGAATAGCAATAAGAGAATCTTTATCTTATGTAGTGTTTGCACAACACGAGCCCATCTAATTATTTTAATTTTATATATAATATTTTATTTTTATTAACTACACTTAATTGAAATCAATCTTAACAAAAACTCATACAAAAAACTTTTTTTGATTTGGTATTATCTAAAATTCTTTTGGTAATTTAATAGGACTTTTTGAAGATTTAATAGAGAATTATTCAGATTCTATTTAATAGTTTTTTTGTTCTGTGTTACAAAATGTAAATCCTAATGAGGAGAGTTCTCCCATACTCTTACGTGTATTCTTCTAACTAAATATTTGTAAGATTTTTACTTATTTTGTTACTTAAGTAATTTATGGCAATTTCTTTCAGTCTGGGATGTGCTTGCTCTTAATAAATTAACTTTTGATGTGTCATTATTTGTTATCAATTAATTAATGATTGAATCTTTGGCTAAGTTTTATTTTTTTAGTTTAATATTTTCTTATATTAACTATTGTATCAGCTAAGAATTGCCTTCATAATATTTTGTTTATTCTGCTGAATTTGGCAGTTGTTAATTATCGCTTATTTTCCTTTAATTTATTAGTGAAGGAATTTATTTTAAAATAGGTTCAGATTGCTTTGTTTTAAGCTTTAGATTTATGGTTGTATCTATCTATTAATAAGTATAATTGATACTTTCTAACATTTTGAAGGATTCTTAGAGGGATATACTTAAACAGGTTTAGTTTCAGTTACATTTTTTTAGATGGATGCATATAATTTCTTATCAATAGTTAATTTTATATTTGACTTCTTCGTTTAAAACATTAAGAACAAGTATTCTTTGGTTATAATAAAAATATAAATTATTAAACATTCAAAGAAATATATTAAATATCAATCCCAAATTAGAACCAGTGAAATATATGTTTTATAAAATAATATAGTAATAATAATATATTCCATTTTCTTGCAATACCTTCTAATAAATTCATTTTTTTAATTTTTTTATTATTATTAAGTACAAAAGTCGAAGGTAGGAAATCTCTTTAGAATAAATTATAAATAAAAATATTTATTGTAAGAATTCAAATTATTAATAGCATTTATTGATAATTTAATAANTTTTAATATCAACTAATACATCGATTTTTTCTGATCTAATGGGTGAACTTGGAGTTTCATTTGATTCTTTTATTTTTGTAGGTTCCTTTACTTCCAAATTTTCGTTGCTTATTTAGATTGGAGCTGGAATAGCAATAAGAGAATCTTTATCTTATGTAGTGTTTGCACAACACGAGCCCATCTAATTATTTTAATTTTATATATAATATTTTATTTTTATTAACTACACTTAATTGAAATCAATCTTAACAAAAACTCATACAAAAAACTTTTTTTGATTTGGTATTATCTAAAATTCTTTTGGTAATTTAATAGGACTTTTTGAAGATTTAATAGAGAATTATTCAGATTCTATTTAATAGTTTTTTTGTTCTGTGTTACAAAATGTAAATCCTAATGAGGAGAGTTCTCCCATACTCTTACGTGTATTCTTCTAACTAAATATTTGTAAGATTTTTACTTATTTTGTTACTTAAGTAATTTATGGCAATTTCTTTCAGTCTGGGATGTGCTTGCTCTTAATAAATTAACTTTTGATGTGTCATTATTTGTTATCAATTAATTAATGATTGAATCTTTGGCTAAGTTTTATTTTTTTAGTTTAATATTTTCTTATATTAACTATTGTATCAGCTAAGAATTGCCTTCATAATATTTTGTTTATTCTGCTGAATTTGGCAGTTGTTAATTATCGCTTATTTTCCTTTAATTTATTAGTGAAGGAATTTATTTTAAAATAGGTTCAGATTGCTTTGTTTTAAGCTTTAGATTTATGGTTGTATCTATCTATTAATAAGTATAATTGATACTTTCTAACATTTTGAAGGATTCTTAGAGGGATATACTTAAACAGGTTTAGTTTCAGTTACATTTTTTTAGATGGATGCATATAATTTCTTATCAATAGTTAATTTTATATTTGACTTCTTCGTTTAAAACATTAAGAACAAGTATTCTTTGGTTATAATAAAAATATAAATTATTAAACATTCAAAGAAATATATTAAATATCAATCCCAAATTAGAACCAGTGAAATATATGTTTTATAAAATAATATAGTAATAATAATATATTCCATTTTCTTGCAATACCTTCTAATAAATTCATTTTTTTAATTTTTTTATTATTATTAAGTACAAAAGTCGAAGGTAGGAAATCTCTTTAGAATAAATTATAAATAAAAATATTTATTGTAAGAATTCAAATTATTAATAGCATTTATTGATAATTTAATAATAAATGATTCTCTAATATATTCTTAATGGTTAAGAGTTAAATTTATATTTCAGAGATTAAGTTCTCTAGATGGTACAATCAATTATATTTAAAACATCTAAATTAGAATTATAAAACATATTAAAAGTATTTTTTTTTAAATACTTAATGAAGATTAGTTTATTACATATTACTATATGAGAATTAATATAATGATAATTTGTAGAATATTTTTTGTACTAACTTTCTTTAATTTAAATTAAAGAGGAAAATGATTAGATTATATATATTCAGATGAATGGGATTGTAAAAAGAGAAAAATATATAATTAATTTATATAAATAATTAAATGATTCGTCTAGCTCATAGTAAGTCAGTGGCACGTTTTTCTGGAGCTTTATGGGGTCCAATCCATGAAAGACCAATTGTCGATAGAGTGATGTCAACATCATAATGGCCTGTCCCATATTATTAAAGAATATTTAAGGCATATCCTGTTAGATGTAAATTTTTATTAAGAAAAAGAAAATAAATAAACATGGGCCATGAATTTAGCTGGAGCAGAAATTCACGATATCAATTGGTATTGCGCTAAGCAAGCTCTGAGCAGAACTTTAAAAGGAAGATAAGCTGTCGAATATGTTGAAAATAATATACCAACTTAAAGTAAATAATTTCCTTAAAGAAAGGCTACATCGTTATTCAAAAAGATGTCTCAAGAATGGCAAAAGCATATGTTAGTGATTTAAGTCTTTTCCTTAGTGTGGCAAATAAGGAAAGCAAAGTCATATTAGACTCTGTTGAATTGATTTGAAATAAAGAAAAACAAAAACATTTTATAAATATGCATTAACATTTTCAATTGAATCAAAAATTATTTCAAATTGAATTTATATTACAAATCAAATAATTAAACAAGGTTTTATCCAGAATTAGTAAAATCAGATTAATATAAATGTGTTTGTTAAAGGGTATTTTTAGTGACAAATTGTGAGATTACATAAATCTGTTATCTTTATAATTATTCTTCTCTTAATTCTTTATATATAAACCTATTAGTATTGAATTTTAAGAATTTAAATTGAAAACAACAATTAAAATATTAGATAATATAACATCAATAGTTTAGAAAAACTCTTTGTGAAAGACATATCTAAAATTAATGAATGAACCTAAATTTGATTGCCTAAAAAGAATCAAATTCTAAACCTTTATTTGCACATTTTTTGATATTTCTTAATCTCAGGATTGTGGTTTTACAATTTGAAAATAACTAACTCCGACATTTTGCTATATTAACCAAATTATATTTTCGAGTAAGAAACTCATCTAAAATGAAATGATAAGCCAAACTTTGTTCTTTAGAGAATAAAAGGAATACTATATATTTTATAATAAAATACAAAATTTCACTTTCCAATATTGTAGTTTTTTTCTTTTTAGCAAAGTTTCTTAATATCAAAAACAGTGATAATGAAAAAGATTATAAAGGAAGCGTCAATTAATTAGATTTAGATAAATTTGAAGATATGAATCATAAAATTATGACGAACATCATAATGATAAAATATAATATGCTTAATATTTCTGTAGAAATTTATACAACGAAGATGACATAGGTAGGCAATAAAATAATTTTCAAAAAGAAGTGAAATCAATATATATAACAAAGTAATAAACAGAATGGGACTAAAAAGAGGATTAGAAGAATATTTTTGATTTATTATTAATTTTTTTTTTATATGGGATCTCAAAGTAGTAAATTAGTTACGGAAACATAGAGACACGAACATGCAATTAACTATATGAACTCTGGAGGGTATTAACAATTCTAAATTTAGATCTATGAGTGATAAATCTGCTAAAAGTATCAAGGATATTGAATAAACATAACAAGAATTTGTTAATACTTAATTTAAATGGAATTTTGGGGGACAAAAGGTATTTGTGGCAGGTACATTCTCCTCATGGAAGACAACTCACTAATTATAAAGAGATAAAGGGGGAGAATTTAGCATAGTGATACCCTTACCAAAAGGAATCCATCATTATAAATTTATTGTAGATGGAGATTGGCGATTCTCTCCAGACGATCCTACAACAGCAGATGAGCATGGAAATATTAATAATGTGATAGATACTACAAAAGTTGAAAATAAAGCTAAAGAATTCATGGAATCAAGTTAATAATTTAAGCCAGAGAAATCCCCTAATGACTCCATTATTTAGAATTAAAAGTAAGTAATTTAAGATTTTAATTTTAATGATAAAGCTCCACCTGTTCCTCCTCACTTACTTAAATATTATTATATTGAAGTAACATAATTTATATTTCTTAGGAAAAAGAGAAAAAACTTAATAATATGTGGAATAAAGATATTAGACCATAAGGCTAAATGGAACTCGAGGATGCTAAACCATAAATATCTTAACAAGAAATATTTGATCATCTTATTTAGATTTTTAGTAATGTTAATTCATTATCACCTCCACCTCATGTAAATTTAAATCATTTGGCCTGTTTAACCACGAACAAAAATAGCCCTTTTAGTGTATATGCTTTAACACATAGATTTAAAGCCAAGCATACTACACTTAAATTTTACACTCATAAATATTAAGAGAACAAACAATAATTGTTTGTCGTTTGAAAAATCATAAATAAATATAAATATTAAATTAAAAATCATATATTTTTGCGAGATTTAGAAACCATTTTTTTTAACCTTAAATTTTACATTATATTCTCAAAATTTTTTTTTTTTGTGAAATTGAAAAACATTTTATTATAAGAGTAATAATAAATAGCACTGAATATTTTAGGTTTTATTTAATTTTAATCACAAATACAAATTATCTGATTATAAATGAGCTTAACATTAATTTTGAGTTAATGCTAAACTTAGGACAGTTTATCAGAAATTAATATAAAGCCATTTTTTAAATACTGAAAAAAAATTATCTAAAAATGTTCATTCATTTTAGAAAAATAAGTAACTACTAAAATAATAAAACATAATTTAATTTTTAACTCTTTTAGTTATCTTACTCAATCACATCTACTAAAGACTCTTCAATTAATTTCAAATCTATACTTTTATCTTTTTGATTTTAATCTTTCCGCTTAATTTGTCTAGGAAAATACTATCTTTCATTGCTAAATATTAATCTAATGTGCGTTTATAGTTTACTTTAGTATCGTGTGTTGTTCAGGTTCTCCTGCATATATATATATATATATATATATATATATAAGGATCTGAATCTTCAGATACTTAATTGTTCACGTTATAAANAAATCTGCTAAAAGTATCAAGGATATTGAATAAACATAACAAGAATTTGTTAATACTTAATTTAAATGGAATTTTGGGGGACAAAAGGTATTTGTGGCAGGTACATTCTCCTCATGGAAGACAACTCACTAATTATAAAGAGATAAAGGGGGAGAATTTAGCATAGTGATACCCTTACCAAAAGGAATCCATCATTATAAATTTATTGTAGATGGAGATTGGCGATTCTCTCCAGACGATCCTACAACAGCAGATGAGCATGGAAATATTAATAATGTGATAGATACTACAAAAGTTGAAAATAAAGCTAAAGAATTCATGGAATCAAGTTAATAATTTAAGCCAGAGAAATCCCCTAATGACTCCATTATTTAGAATTAAAAGTAAGTAATTTAAGATTTTAATTTTAATGATAAAGCTCCACCTGTTCCTCCTCACTTACTTAAATATTATTATATTGAAGTAACATAATTTATATTTCTTAGGAAAAAGAGAAAAAACTTAATAATATGTGGAATAAAGATATTAGACCATAAGGCTAAATGGAACTCGAGGATGCTAAACCATAAATATCTTAACAAGAAATATTTGATCATCTTATTTAGATTTTTAGTAATGTTAATTCATTATCACCTCCACCTCATGTAAATTTAAATCATTTGGCCTGTTTAACCACGAACAAAAATAGCCCTTTTAGTGTATATGCTTTAACACATAGATTTAAAGCCAAGCATACTACACTTAAATTTTACACTCATAAATATTAAGAGAACAAACAATAATTGTTTGTCGTTTGAAAAATCATAAATAAATATAAATATTAAATTAAAAATCATATATTTTTGCGAGATTTAGAAACCATTTTTTTTAACCTTAAATTTTACATTATATTCTCAAAATTTTTTTTTTTTGTGAAATTGAAAAACATTTTATTATAAGAGTAATAATAAATAGCACTGAATATTTTAGGTTTTATTTAATTTTAATCACAAATACAAATTATCTGATTATAAATGAGCTTAACATTAATTTTGAGTTAATGCTAAACTTAGGACAGTTTATCAGAAATTAATATAAAGCCATTTTTTAAATACTGAAAAAAAATTATCTAAAAATGTTCATTCATTTTAGAAAAATAAGTAACTACTAAAATAATAAAACATAATTTAATTTTTAACTCTTTTAGTTATCTTACTCAATCACATCTACTAAAGACTCTTCAATTAATTTCAAATCTATACTTTTATCTTTTTGATTTTAATCTTTCCGCTTAATTTGTCTAGGAAAATACTATCTTTCATTGCTAAATATTAATCTAATGTGCGTTTATAGTTTACTTTAGTATCGTGTGTTGTTCAGGTTCTCCTGCATATATATATATATATATATATATATATATAAGGATCTGAATCTTCAGATACTTAATTGTTCACGTTATAAATGCATCATTAAATACCAAATCATCAGAACTAACCATTTACTAAATTATATAGAATGTAACCTATGGATTCATAGATTCGTAAACTCTTAAAAATTAAGTAGAAGATTTGTTGAAAAAAAACCAAAAAAAAATAACAATATAAATATCTTACCTATGCCTCTAGACTTGCAAAAATGTAATTTAAAGTCTTTAACAAAATAAAGAAAAAAATATTTATTTATGGTCGACAATTCAGCAACAAGATCAATCTAATTTAAATTAAACATAGATATTTTTTTGATGAGATTTACACCATCAAAGTAATTTCAACAGACACAAAAATACATAAGAATAATATTGAATAACAGTAACATTTTCAATAAGTAGTTAATAATCAACCTTTTCATAAATCAAAATAACAGAGAATAAAGAACACACAGATTAAAATTCATTAAAAACAATAATCATCTAACTTATTAATTGATCAAAACAATTATGTCAATAATTTAACATATGAAGAACTTTAATAACTAATATATGCAGCAGACGAAAGACTGAACTACATCATATCAAACTAACAAGAATCTTAATAATAATCTTCAAAATAATAGTAGTAAAAAGGTGAAATAAAGGAAGTTTAGTCTTTAAGTGAATAACAATTCTAATAAGAAAATTAGCATATATAATGTGACTAAATAGCCATATTTAAGTAACCAAAGGAATAGAAATAAGTATTCTAATCAAGTTAGAATGTACCATTTTCACCTTAACCATAAAATCAAAAGGAATCTTCGTTCACATGTGAAAATTATAACTCTGGCCCATATAAAAACCTAGAATCCTATCTTTCACATATATATACTCGACATTAAGGAAAAACCTCTGATAAGAACATTTGCTCTAAGTCTGGAAATTTATAGGGGAGTAAATGATAGCATTAGTAATAAGGCCCCCAATAATAAACACACAAATAATAATAATAATAATAACTTCAAACTAACTAATCCATTTTAGTTAAAACAAAAACAATATAATCTCACAACATCATTAAACAACAGTAGTGTGTTGGAATATTTCCTCTTTAAAACCAACCACTATACAAATAATTAAAGTAAATGATCCCCACATAATTTGTCTTCAAGAAACTCAATAGATTATAAACAAATCTCCTAGATACAATTTCATTAATAAATTACGTAGCGAACATTCTTAAGGCGGAGGAATAAGTATTCATAAATAATTCATATGCAGAGACATTTCTCACATTTTAAAATTAGATGAAATTGAATATTTGTTAGTTTAATGCACAAAAAATAATGTAGAACTATATATTTTAAATATCTACTCTGCCAACTCTAAATCTTTCAGAAACTAATAAAAAAAATTGCAAAGCTTCATTGTTCAACTTAAAATCAAGAAACCAAATGCTCTTATAATGATTGTTGGAGATTCTAATAATAGTACAGTTAAGCTCAAAGGTATGATAGATTTAATTCCAGAGTATTAAATAACATACTAAAGATCTTTCAAGAACAAACTTCGATAATCGAATAAAGACATTTTTCAAATCAATTAAGAGCTTTCGCATTCAATTAGCTTTCAGCAAAATAATCTATCTGATCATACATTAATAATTTGTTAATTAAATTTGAAAAAAAACCTAAAAAGTAAAAAGTAATATAATTTCATAATAAACAAGGAGTAAATTTATCTATTAAATTTGAATTGTTCTCACAGTGAGAACTTCAGAGAATTTATCTAGAAAATTCAGGAAAATCAAAAGAGATTCTAAATCTATAGAAGGAAAAGGTAAGGTCTAGAATCAATTATACATAGAACTTCTTAAGATTTTTTGAACATATTCTAATTAATTAATAGCAATATCAGAACTAAGTAAAATAAGATACCCATAAACTAATTAAAAAGCTAATTATAGTTAATCCAAATAAAAGGGATGGTGAAATCATGAATTGTTACATTGATAATTCAGATAACTTAATCACAGACTAACAGGCAGTAAAAAATAATGTATTATATACATTAGGAGATAATTAAGGACTAATTAATTTCCAACCTCTATCACTACCAGAATTAGAACCTATTACTTTTGAACAGTTTTTATATATGAAATCAAGAATTAGTTAAAATAAAGCATTAACGAATATTTTAATTTCAGACACTTGGATTTCCAAAAATGGATCCTTCATTATTTTGAATGATGTTTGGAGAAGTAATATATAAGATCTTGTTAAAAACTTTAGAGAGTTCTTCATAGTCCCATTAAATAAAAACTATCCAAACATTCCACAGGCTAGTGAATTTCGACCAATTATAATATTAAGTCCTTTATATAAGTGGTTAGAATTGCGATTTGAAAAATCTTTAAGCAGATAAAAAGTTAGGATAACTTTAATTATCTTTATTTCACAATGGTGAAACCTTAGAAAGCTAGGAAATCTAGAGAATAATCCTTTCTATTTCCAAAAAATGAAATTTTTAATCCATATTTTATGAAAAAGGTGAAAAAAATAATGATTTTAATTTTAATAATACTGTTTTATTTTTACAAAAATGAATAAAAGTAACTAAATTAAATTAAATTAATAATTATTAATATAAATGAGCGCAATTTAAGAAAAGTTTGATCTTGTTTAGAAATATATAAAATCAGCAAACACATGATAATGATAATTAGATAACTCACAAATATTAAAACTTATGCATTTTTTAAATAAATAAGTGATAATAACATATTTATAATTAGATTTTTAAAGGGCCTAGCAAAGGTTTAACTCCTAGTAAACTAAAAGTCTTAGAGAGAGCAAAATATGATGCTTGGAAAAATTAGAATAGGTATTTCAAAAAAAAAAAAAGAAAAAAGTCTAGGAATAATAAATTAAAGTAGTTGAAAGAATTTGGTCAAATGGAACGATAAAGCCAAATTTGATTTATATTAATATTAATTAAAAAAATAAGATATTGC